ATCATTTATCTGGTTTGTACTGTCATGATAAATTAACATTTTACTGCATCAGCTCTCTGCATTGTTCATTAAGCCTAGAGAGAACTAAAGATGAATGACTATTTTTTCTTGGGAAAGAAAGAGTTAGGCATGTGGTATTTTATGATTCTTCTTGGTTTTCTTCACATTGCTTATTTCACTGGTGAAATTCAGTTCCCAACTAATTATTAGCACTTCACCTTTGTTGAACTTGATTCTATACCCGTGGCTATTCTTTGTGTGTTTGTAAGTTTGACCACAAGTAATTGATTGTGTATATTCACAGTTCACTATAAAACTATTTAGCTTATTGAAGGTAGTAGTTATCTTTTTCAAATTGCATTAATTGTTTGATTAAATGCCTCTTCCCACTCTTGCATTCAGGCACCATTTGATCCTTTCTCAGTGGACAATATGAGAAGGCTTGTAGAACATGCTGCTTTTCCTGGGCATATATATCCATTAGCACTACTATGTTACAACATTATGCCTCCCCCGGCCCAGGTTTGTTTTCCTTCTGGTATGTACTGTGATGATTTACATGTTCATTTCTCAGTTGTACAATGTATTACAGGTTGAGAAAGAAATTGGAGAGAGAAGGGTTATATCCTTTCATGGGGCTGGATTATCTGTGGGCCCAAAAGTTGATTTCCATGTACTTACTGCTGCTTCTGAAGACCCTGAGGAGGTTAGTATGTTTCCGGTTAGATAACAATTAGCCTTCCATTTTCATGTGAAGTATCACAATGATTCTGTTGGTCAATTCAAGTCAGGAGGCAGTAAATTGGTAATGGAATATAGGACTTGTGGGTATATACTATCTGCCCTGTGAAAAGATTTGTCAAATTTGTCTAAGTTATGTTCATTAGAGTCTCAAGTCAAATGGAGCAGAAGTAATAATCAGATCCATCAAAATTTGGCATTTTGAATTTGGTGAAGTGAATTTTATGCACAAAATTGGTGATTAAACAATTCAGAGCTCATGGTATAATTTGCCATCTTTGCTCTTGATTCTTTAGGTCATCTTTAGACGTTGACTTTTCATTTCAGCTCAAATTTCTCAATTTTTACTCCATATTTGTTTATTATTAGCTTATAATAATGCATTTCTGAACATGAGAAGTGTCGTGATCATTATTTCTTGACCAGCAGTTCTCCCTGCAAATTTAGCATGTTAATCATAAAATAGTGTGTGAAAGCTGATAATATCAAAATAAATTAGTCGCTGTTGAATTGTATAAATGTAATACCTAGGTTTCTTTTAATAGTATAAGGATAATAATCCATTTACAACTCATTTTGCGCATGAGTAGGGTTCTGATAATTCTTCTTGGCCTGGATGTCTCTTTGAAAATTAACATAATAATTATATAATGATTAACATATATAATTAAAATAAGTTAGTCCCCATATAAACAATTAGCATATAATATAGGTTCATGTGTGAATTATTTATTTCTATGATTGGCATCAAGAAAAAAAATTTCAATATTGTAGACATTCTTATATATGTTCCTCTGAACTCACTCAATCTGTTTGTGACTTGTGTTAATTTATAATGTGATTAACCATAAGTATGTCTATGTCAGAATCCACTGATTTTAACTAAAGACTAAGAATTCATCCCTGCAGGCTAAGGTGGCGTACTCCAATATGCTTTTTGATTCTGTGAACCAGCAATATAATGTGCTAAAATCTGCCATTCATGGTAAACAAGGGCTGAAGGCTTCTACCTCTACTGTGTCATTGTCACAACCATGGCTGTAGTTTAACAATCTGCACGCACCCTTTGTTTTACCACGTGTACACTTTGAGGCCTTTCCAGGTATTTGGTTTGGGTTCAAATCCCCTTTTTTCATTCTGGTAGGAATGCTGACTTGTAGCATGATAATGTTACATGGTACAGGTTTTGTTTTGACAAGACTGTACAGATGCTCGACTTTGTCTGTAGAAAGATGGTAATGCGGCCTGGATCGTCGCCCACTACCCGGTCTATCAACTTGCAAGTTCTCCTTAGATGTGCTCTTGTAGAAAGGCCTAAATAGATGAAGAGCAAATTGAAGTTTTGTCAAGCTTAGTTCGCAGTTTTGTTGTTGTAAAAATGCATACTAAATCGCAATTAGTGTAACATTTGCTGGTATCCTTGCGCAATATATACATTTCTATGATCCATTTAGAGTTTGGAATCTTCTGCTGCATGATTTTATTTTTATTGTTATTTCTGCTGGGTATTGTTCCGATGGTCTCTCTCATCCCTTGCCCGCCCTGATCATTACTCCAACTTAAGCTTATTTGCAAACCTTTGCTCCAACTTAAACTCATGTGAAAACGGTAGCTCTAAACTTAAACAACTTTGTAATCTTGGCTTCAAACTTAACTCTTTTGTAACCTTCCCTTTCAAACCTTTACTCCAATATCAACTACTGCTCAAATTTTAAGCTTCAATATGCAACGCCGGTTCTCTATTCTTGGCTTATACTTCAACTGCTCCATTTTGAGTTTAAACTTAATTTGTTCCCTTTTTGAACGAAATACTTCACTTTTTGACGCTTAAGTATTAACAAATATTTCTTACATCACATTGGAGTGTTAAACCAGCTGCATCACCATTCATCATCTTCTATCCCATCAAACTCGGCAATTGGATCGACATATCTCTCAAACTTTGTCATTTAATGCTGCTTCATTAGACTCACCATCATATTCCAATTCACCATCATTTCCTGACTCATCTAAATCCTCATCACTTTTACTTTCAATTAAATTTAGAAAAATACTTGGTGTACTCCCATTTTAAACTCTCAACTTGTACTCCCTCTCACATGCTTTTGATGTAGACATTTTTCAGTGGACCCACATGATGAAAATAACCAATCCTTATTTACCACCTCAGGAAGTATAGATGAGGGAGTAGACTTTTGGAAGTCTACTTAGTAGAACTCTTAGGGATGCACTCAGGTGTGAATAAGTGCTCAGGAAGAAATATGCGAATGAATCAGCGCGTGACACGTGTCCATATCTAATAACTTAAAAAAATGCAGTGGCATTTTTGTAAATAATTGAACATCGAAGTGCAAGTAAAATCACTTACAAGTGCACCTACTTTCACCTATAAATGCATGTAATTTTGCTTTGTTAGCATTCACTTCCCACAGACATTCATGCCCTTGGGTGTGCTTATAACTATATGTGCAACTATTTATAACTATAGGTGCAACTACTTATAATTATAGGTGCACCTACTTTCACCTATAAGTGCATGTAATTTTGCCTTGTTAACATTCATTGATCTGAGTTCAGCCGGTAGTAATACCCCTGAAAATCACCCACAAACATTCATGCACCTAGGTGCAACTACTTATAACTATGTGTGCAACTACTTAGAACTATATGTGCAACTACTTATAACTATAGGTGCATTTAGTATTGATACTCAGTGTAAATTTTTACTTGCACCTATAATACATTTTACATGCACTTGTAATACATTTTACTTGCACTTCGATGTTCAATTATTTACGAAAATACCACCGCGCCTTTTAAAAAAAATCATTGTTTCTCATCCATTAGATCTAAACACGTGGACGGACAGAATCCATTCCTATTTCGCGCCTGGGCAAAGCATTCGCACCTGAGCGATTATATATATATATATATATATATATATATATATATATATATATATATATATATATATATATATATAGTTATGAACCTACTCTATTTGTAATAAAAATTTTGTTTAGTGATTTAGCCCGTTGGATTAGCCCAACAACCCGTTTAGGATTAGGGCCAACTTAACTAAAAAAAAAAAGAATAAAAAATCATTTAGTCCAAACCAACAAGTCCACCAACCCTGTAGGGCTAGTCCAAAACCCAGAGGGTTGGCCCATTTGACATCTCTATGACTAAGTGGTCCTCATGGAGTCATGGCAAAACAATGCCCTTATTTTTTTTTCATACTTTTGTTTTATAAACAATACAACACACATGTAAACCCCATTATAAAGTCACTACTAGTTTTAAATTACATACACACATCACACTTTTTACATAAAAAATAAATAAAAATTATTACTACTTTTCACTAAAACAAACATCTCAATACTACTTTTTATTCAAAAAACAAAATGAAAACACAAACAAATGGTTCCTATGCATTATACCTATACAAACCTTTAACCAAAATAGTACAAACCATATTAATTTCCCCATCTACATATAGTTAAAGTCGAACACAAAAGAGTGCAAATTTAATCAACATCAAGCACATGAATATGTTTTAGAAAAATTTAATCCTACTCATTTTGTAACATCAAGCATATCAATAGATCCTCATATGCACAATTTCACAAACACATAAATACAAATACAGAATATATTACTTCACATTTAGTAATTGGGTCATTCACTTACCTTTAGAACTTCGTTGTGTAGAACTCATTAACTTGAACTGTAGACCTCTTCTTTGACAGAAACAAGTCGATGCCTTCAACAATTTTGTTTTTCTTGTTCGTTTTTAGGATTCAATCCGCGACTTAGGGTTCTTTGAAAAAATTGAGTATTTTAATTTCAGTAGAGAAACATACGTAATTGGAGATTTTTGGATTCAATTTGCTTTGTTAGTCTAAAAGGACGACTTTATTTTTACGTTACACAACTTAAATGACTAAAACTAATGAAAGGGCCATAGACCTTATGATTACCAAATCAACGGTCTAACTAACTTTGTTGGAGTTGCCTTCATTTGAACCTTATTGGTTGTTATTAGATTTGTTAAATTAAATTAGAATAGAAAATATAAATTGAGAACTTTAAGCACAAACTTTTTTTTTTTTTTTTTTTAAGTGCTATTGACTCTGTTACAACTTAAACATCAGTTATTGGTTACTGTTTGGATTTAATTGAAATTTAAAATGAATTTTTACCCCCTCACTTTGCACTATTGTTTAGTAGACACTGCAGTACTCTTCCAGTTTTCCCTCTTTTCCCCCTTGGCGTAATATCCCTTCCGCTTCGCCTCTCAGCTTCGGCAGCCAGCAGTCTCCTTTCCGTACAGCAGAGAGAAGCGAATAGCACTCCGGCGAGCCTACATTCTCCGACGAACCTTGCATCTCGGGAAATTCCAAAACTCAACACGGACTCTCAAAAATAAGCCCAAAAGTAATTATCTAAACCTATATTTATTTATTTATTTATTTTGATGAATGTTGTCTCATTTCTCTTTTGTTATGGATAATTGATAGTTGTTTCTTGTTCATCGCTCTCTTTTGTGCATTAGATACTTGATTTTTAGATTAAATCCATAAAGCGTCAAATTCGGTACAATTAGAACCTCAGTTTAAGGTTCCAATTGCAGAACCTCAGTTTGAGGTTCCAATTGCAGAACCTCATTTTGAGTGACGTGGAATTAGAGAAAGGAAAGGACCAAATGATCCTATTGGCTACTGTGACTACAAATCAATGAGATTCACACATGCTTTAAGTGTCAAAAATGGTTTTATTAAACATGTCCAATAAGATAAAAAAAAAAAATGTAGGGAATGAAATTGAATGCAGAATGATTCTAATAATGCAGTTGATCTTTGAAACTTCAAGGCTAGCAACAATTGTAAATGGGATCCTCAGGAAAACAACTAGAGATATTGAACTCAATGGTATGTATCCAGAACAACATAATTTCTGCACATTACCAGTTTACCACTATGCACTTTTCAGATTATATATTAAGAGCAGGCCCATAGTTTCTTTATATAATGGAAATCTCGTGTAGTGATAGACTGATAGGATATATAGGAAATGTATTAATTAGAGATTATCATACCATAATGGACCCTCTCATATACACTATCCACATGGAACAGCTTCCATTCCAGTCTAGACATATCCCATTCTTGACCCCCCATCTGCTTCCCAAGTGAATTATTCTATTTGTAGTTTGGGACAATAGATGGTAGGGAAGGATCTCATTCTGTATAGTCATTTCATTATAAATAAAGCTGCCTTAACTTTTTCACAACTAAAAACATAACCTTCCTGGCTTCATTCCTATGATTGATGTTCCTTTTTTAACTGTCATGCTATCTTTCCAGGTTTCGTGATTCCCAAAGGATGGAGAATATATGTGTATACAAGAGAGGTTAATTATGATCTGCGCCTATATCCCAATCCATATACTTTCAACCCTTGGAGATGGCTGGTTAGTAACCTTAAATTTCTCAGCTGGTACCTATAACTTTAGCAGCATCAGTTGGATATTTTGACTAACTTTGTACTTGGTGGATCAAATGTGTATTGATAATTATCGAATGTGTATTGATAGTTTGATATGTGTATATATTTTTTTCGCTGGATTTTTTCTATTTTCGAATCATCGAATATGTTCTGATATTTTGTTTCAGATTTTTCTTGATTTTTGAATGTGTCTAGTCGTTTTGATATAATGAGTAGTTGGATTGAATGTGTTCTGTTGAATTTTTTTTTTCTTGATTTCTTTGCAGCTGCAGATTTTTTCTTGATTTTTTAATGATTTTTTTGTCGTTTTGATCTGCTCTGATTTTTTTGGAATTATGCTGAGTATTTTTTCAGTCATATGCAACTGTTTTTCAGTCATACAGATGCAAATTGTAGACCTGCTTTTTTCCTTATTGTATACCTGCTTTTATCCTTTGGGTTAGAATTTTAATTATTATGCATTACTGATGTTTGGAACATGAAAGGTGATTGGGGTAATGCAGTTTCTGAAGCAGAATTTTGGGTTTCCATAAGAATGTTAAATGGAATACAGTGTAGTGTATGTGGAATGTGGGTTGCAATTTGCACAATTTGTTTTTTGTTGTTGTTATTGTTAAATTTAGTTTCAATTTCCAGTATTCTAATTTTAGTTATTTATTTGAGGTAAGTTTAAAAATCTGTTCTTTAAGCTTTCTGTACCTTAATTTGGTTCATTTTTCAGCTGATAATGCCTAATTCCTTAAGCTGTTTTTAGTGAAAAATCTGTTCTTTAAGCTTTCTGCTGATAGTGCTGAATTCCATTTTTTTTTCCTACTAAAACTAATGAAAATGATCCTTAAGCTCAATTATTTCACTCAGTCATATGAACAAATGCTGCAGTAGGAAAATATCTATTAGACTTATGTTTAATTGTTTATGGTATATTTTTATTTTATTTATTTTGTATGGTCTACTTATATGTTTAGGATAATGTGATTGCCTATTATAGTGATATCATGAATGTTTGTTGGGAACTTCTTCCTTCTTGAATGGTTGGATTTCTTGTATTATAATTGCCTGTGACATTATTCACTAAACTTTAATTTGAGTTGTTTACTATTTATTCCCTGCTGTAGGGTTACTGTCACGTTGCGAGTCAAAACGGTCTGTCATATTTGCTTCTTTCAAGAGGTTCATGTTAACAAGTACAGGAAATTCTGAACTGCAGCGGAGGACCCTAGAACGTTCAAGCAAATTTGAGGGGTTAGGGGAAGGAGCAGATATTGTGAATCAGAAGAACCAAGAATGCTCAAGTAAGTTGGACATTGTTAGACAAGGAGTAGATAGTATTTGCAAGATTTTGGAAAGTGGTCCATGGAAACCTTCCTTGGAGAATGCTCTATCTGATAATGGCGAAGAGCATGATACTGAGGTTGTAATTAGAGTCTTACGAAAGCTTAAAGATGCAAAAATTGCAATTGACTATTTTCGTTGGGTGGAGAGGAAAACTAGCCAAACTCATTGCCCAGAAGCATATAATTCACTTCTCATGGCAATGGCAAGGAGCAAAAATTTTGAATATTTGGAACAAATATTTGAAGAAATGAGTATTGCTGGATTTGGTCCTTCTAGTAGCACTTGCATTGAATTGGTTACAGCTTGTGTCAAGAGGCGAAAACTCAAAGAAGCATTTGATCTAATTCAAACTATGAGGAAGTTTAAGTTCCGTCCAGCTTTCTCAGCATATACAACTTTAATAGGTTCCTTATCTGAAGTTCATGAACCAGATCTTATGTTGACCCTCTTTCACCAGATGCAGGAATTAGGGTATGAAGTAAATGTCCATTTATTCACAACAGTAATTCGAGCATTCGCAAGGGATGGTCGAGTAGATGCAGCTCTTTCCTTGTTGGATGAGATGAAAAGCAACTCTTTTGATGCAGATATTGTCCTCTACAATGTTTGCATTGACTGCTTTGGTAAGGCAGGTAAGGTTGATATGGCTTGGAAATTCTTTAATGAATTGAAGGCCCTTAATATCATGCCTGATGATGTGACATATACTAGTATGATTGGTGTTCTCTGTAAAGCTAATAGACTACATGAAGCTGTGGGGCTATTCGAGCAGATGGAGCTCAATAGGACAGTTCCTTGTGCATATGCATACAATACAATGATCATGGGTTATGGCTGTGCTGGTAAGTTTGATGAAGCGTACAATTTGCTTGAGAGGCAAAGGCTAAAGGGTTCAGTACCCAGTGTGATTGCATATAATAGTATCCTTACTTGCCTTGGGAGGAAGAGAAAGGTAGACGAGGCATTACGGGTCTTTCAGGAGATGAAAAAAGATGCAGCACCAAATCTGTCTACATATAATATTCTCATAGACATGCTATGCAAAGCAGGGAAACTTGAAGATGCTTTACAGCTTCGTAATGACATGCAAGTAGCCGGTTTGTTTCCTAATATATTGACTGTTAATATAATGGTTGATCGTCTGTGCAAGATAAACAAACTCGATATAGCTTGTTCAATATTTGAAGAAATGGATCACAAAGTTTGCATGCCAGATGAAGTTACATTTTGTTCTCTAATTGATGGGCTGGGCAGGCATGGAAGGGTAGACGATGCATACAGACTCTATGAACAAATGCTAGATTCTGACCGGATTCCTAGTGCTATTCTCTATACATCTCTAATCAAGAACTTCTTCAAATCTGGGCGAAAGGCAGATGGGCACAAAATTTACAAGGAAATGGTTCATAAGGGGGTTTCTCCTGACCTCTCCCTCCTTAATACCTACATGGATTGTGTCTTCAAAGCAGGTGAAACAGATAGAGGTAGAGCACTTTTTGAGGGAATCAGGACTTGGGGATTCACACCTGATGTGCGTAGCTATTCTATACTAATTCATGGCCTCACTAAAGCAGGATTTGCCCACGAGACATATGAGCTATTCTATGCAATGAAGGAACATGGATATGTTTTGGATACACAAGCTTATAATATTGTCATAGATGGCTTCTGTAAATCAGGAAAAGTTAATAAAGCTTACCAGCTTCTGGAGGAAATGAAGGTAAAAGGTGTAGAACCAACAGTAGTAACATATGGTTCAGTAATCGATGGGCTTGCCAAGATTGACAGACTCGATGAAGCTTACATGCTTTTCGAAGAAGCTAAATCTAAAGGTGTGGAGTTGAATGTGGTGGTATATAGTAGTCTAGTAGATGGGTTTGGAAAAGTCGGTAGAATAGACGAGGCATATCTAATTATGGAAGAATTGATGCAAAAAGGATTGACACCAAATGTACAGACTTGGAATTGCCTGCTTGATGCCCTAGTGAAGGCAGAAGAAATAGACGAGGCTCTTGTTTGCTTCAAGTCAATGAAGGACTTGAAGTGCCGTCCTGACACCATTACTTACAGCATTCTCATAAACGGCCTGTGCAGGGTTCGGAAGTTCAATAAAGCCTTCGTCTTTTGGCAAGAGATGCAGAAAGAAGGCCTAAAGCCAAACATGATCACCTACACCACCATGATATCCGGTCTTGCAAAGGCAGGAAATGTAGCAGAGGCCGATAAACTCTTTCAAAAATATAAGGCTAATGGTGGTATGCCAGATTCTGCTTGTTACAACACTATGATGGAAGGGTTAAGCGTTGCAAATAGGGCAACCGAAGCATACCAGCTATTTGAGGAAACTCGATTAAGAGGTTGTAATATATATACCAAAACTTGTGTTATCCTTCTAGATGCATTGCACAGGGCCGAATGTCTTGAACAGGCCGCCATCGTAGGTGCTGTGTTGAGAGAGCGAGCAAAATCACAACATGCCTCGCGATCTTTATAGTGCCAGATTCTGTTTGTTACAACTCTATGATACAATGGTTAAAGCAGATAGGAAAACAGAAGTATACTGACTGGCCATTTGAGGAAATTCAGTTATTAGGGTGTGATATATACTCTATAGTCTATATATATATAGCAGCAATACTTTGTGTTGTTCTCCTACACTAGACTAGACTAGATGCATTGGATTGGATAATGCTTGAGAGCAAAATCACAACATGCTTCAACATCTTTGTAATGCTTAAATTATTCTTTTTTGAATCAATACTACTATTTTCTTCCTCCCTAAAGGTTGAATCCCCAACCCCAAAGACCCTCCACATCCCGGCCCGACAGAGCATTTGGGAGGATGTAAATCACGGTAACTTAATAGTTCAGCAAACGGGGTCAAATGTCGGTGCGCACAAGAGGTTTGCTTACTTTGGACATAATTTCACACTGCTGCTGCCGAATTTTGAACTTTGGTCTCTTCCCTCCAAAATATTGTCTATTGAATCAGTGAGGTCAGCCGTGCGGGCAATACTACTATTTTCTGTTGGTATAGAGAGAGGTCTTTAATTTGTTGTCAAACTTATTTTCTCATGGTTTTGGCAGAGACAATCCTCACCCAAAATCTGGCATACATATACTTCCCTGATTGTTAACTTCAAATCATAATTTTCTTTGATCAGGATCCCGCTGGTATCAGTATCAGTAACAACACACCTTCATAGCCCAATGGGTTATGCTTACTGGAGTTACTGCTTAGTAGACCTATTTATTATCTATATTTAATCTCATATATGCTGGGTATGCATTATTAGATGGATTCATGTGTATATATATGTGTGTGTTATATTTATATTCTAATGTAAGGGTGCGTTTGGAAATCCGGAAAATGATAATCATTTTTTGAGTTTTCAGTGTTTGGCAAGAGGGGGGAAAATGAGATCAATGAAAAATGATGTATTAGTTAAAGGAAAATAGGTTTGTTTTTTTTTTTTTTTTTTTTTTTTTGGGGAAAATGACTTTTCCTTTTTTGGGGAAGTCATTTTCCAACACGCCTGCCCTCTTCACGCCTCTTCCTCCTCTGCTGCTCTCACCTCACCAACTACATTTTCTTCATTTTCTTGCTGCCCACTAGGTATGTTTCTTCCTTCTTTTTTTTTTTTTTTTTTAGTTATTTAAATTTTTTTTTTAAATTTCTAGTTATAAATTGTTGCTATTTTTTTTCAAATCTGACATCTAAAATGGTTTCCTGGCCAAAAACTTATGGAAAACCAGTTTGGCCGACTTATTTTTACATTTTTTTTGCAATATTATTAAATTTTGTTTGTGAATTGTTTGTGAATTCTTATGGTTTAATGTAGAAGATAATGACTTGTCTCTAGAGTTTTTTGTGCTAATTTCAAGTTTTGATTATGTTGTGGAAAATAACCTTGATTTGAACTTGTATTGAACACTGTATTGATTATGTTGGAAAATTTATGGACATTGTATTGAACTTGTGATGCTAGGTTTTTGCATTTTGGACTTATGAATTTGTGCTTATGTGCTAGTTTTGTTTGTTAGAATTGTGATATATATTATTTTATTTTTTTGTTTGTATATATATATATATATATATATATATATATATATATATATATATATATATATATATTATTTTCCTACTCATGTTATGGAAAATGAATTAAATGCACAAACTATGTTAATGAAAATGTTTTCTGAAAAATGACTCATTTTTCAGAAAATATTTTTCTGTTTTTCAAATGGACCCTTGTTTACGATTAAAATCAATTTATATTAATAAAAACCTTAGAAAATGTGTTGTTCTGGTTATATCACATAGTCTCACACTCTCACTTGATTTGTTATATACCTCTTATTTAGTTCACTAGAATGTGAGACCTCATTAGAGATTTTGAGGTTCCTGAAATTGGTTTTAATTCATTATTTTTCATTTTCACAAGAACCTCACATCCCCCAAAATTTTGAGGAATTTGTGAGACTTTTGAAAATGTCAAATTACCTAAAAGGGTAATGCTTTTTTCCTCTTTTAAAATTTTCCTTGAAGTGCATGAATGGGTTGATTTGATCACTATTTTTTTTTTTTAAAAAATTAGTTAATAATAAAAAATTAAAATTTTAATAAGATAATGTCACGTCAGGATGAAAAATATAAGAGGGATATGTAACATTTATGTATAGTAGTTATAAATTAATTTTACTTTTGATTCTTCTAATATAGTAGTAATATTATATTTTGCCCTTGACTTTTAATAGGGAACAAATTGTCTCACCTTTTTAAAATATGTCCAAATTTAATCCTATTATTAGTGTTCTTTAAAACAAAAATCAATGTTTTATACTTTAGTATCAGTATGTTGTCTTAATTGATTGATAAAAAAAAAATCGATAGTTAAGTGGAAAAAAAAATGTTACTCTATATATATTTTATAAAAATTAAAGAACTAACATTTTTTTTTTTTTAATTTTGTAAAAGTTAGGTAAGTATAAGTACACATGGGTGAAAACCTTAATGAAGGACCAATCTTTTAAAAATAAAAAGCTAAGTTTAGGGGGGTCTAGCATTTGATTAATGTGTTTTAAGCATCGGAATGTGATTGGAATAATCATTCTTCCCTCTGATTTTGGCTTTCCTACAATCTGGCTTTACTGCATTATTTATGTGCATATATGCACAAGGAGACAAAATTTTCAAAATTAGAAATTATTATTAAAAATTTTAAAACTTATTTCAATTATTACTGAAACAGTAATGCTACACATTCCTCCTAAGGTGACACTATTTAATTGGTTACTTTGTGATTAATTAAAAGTATGTGAGGTCATCCAATTCATGACACCGGATAATTATAAATCACTCATAAAAGAAATATTAGGAGAAAATTTTGGAGGAGAAAATAACGTTTTCAATTCCTCACTAAAACTCATTTCGAATTAATTACTCCGTAGAATTTATCTATGGCGATTGTAGGCTTCTACTTGCCTATATTAGTTCTTGTTCTTTTAATTTCATTTCTAAATCAGTGAACGAACTTGCTCACCTTCTAACCAAACAAGTTGGCTTTTAATATGATTTTCTCGTTTGGAGGTCATCTCGAGATGCATCTCACACTTTTTACAGTAATAAATATTGTCTTGTTTGCTTTCAAAAAAAAATCACTTAATATTGTTTTTATTGTAATTAAATTTCTAAAGCAAAGTAAAAAAATATCCTTACGAATTTAGCTCAGTAGTTCAACCATGTTTGAGAAGAACAAAAAGACTTTATAAAAAGTGGCAATCCTCAGTCCTCACGTGACACGTGGAGGTAGAAAGACAAGAAAGTAGAAGCTGTGCCTGTCCTTAGAAGCTACTGAAAATGCCTCTCTATCCAAAATAATACGGAATTATAATATTTTGAGAAAATGACACTTTTTCCCTCTGAGTTATATATTTATAGCATTTTTTTTCCCTCAATTATTTAGGTAAGCACATTAACCCCTTCAATTATTCTAAAAGTGGTTGTTTTTTCCCTTAATATATTAAATTGACATTTATACCCTTAAAATAAATATTTTATTTATTTTATTTCTCCAACAAATTATTGCGTATACGTAAGGATGACTACGATTCGGTTCGAACTGAATCGGACACTATAACAATCGAATTAAAAGTTTCCGGTTATGATTTAGATCTAGAACCCAATATTTGGATTTCAATTTATTAAAATTATGAATCAAAAAAATTGGATCCTGAACCGTGAACTGGCGGTTCCGGACCCGATTCGCGATTTTGAACCGTTTTTATTTTAAAATTTTATTTTTATTTTAAAAATAGTCTAAATTCAACAATAAATGTATTTTATTTTTTCAGTTCGGAACATGAACCGTCCGTTCTGGGGTTTTAATAAACTTTAAATATCGAGTTTCGATTCTAAATTGTAATTGAAATATTTTGGTTTGGTTGCTATAGTGTTTATTCGGTTTAAACCAAATTATGGTCATAATTTGTTGGAGAAGAAAAATAAATAAAATATTTATTTTAAAGGTAAATATGTTCATTTAACATTTTAGGGGAAAAACAGCCACTTAAATAATTGAGGGTGAAAAAGTGCTATAAGTATATAACTCAGGGGAAAAAGTGTCATTTTTTCTAATATTTTTATTTTTTATTTTACGAAATTAATTAATTTTTTAAAAATAAAATAATGTCGTGCAATTTTGTCTCGCTTCCTTTCTGGTGTTTGTTTCTTAACCACGTGTGAAGGGAAGATTACATTCACTTTTCCCACCGCAATTTTTATTTTTATTTTCAAACTGTAATTTGCACCAAAACCAAGAAAGATTCACCTTTTCTTAAAGGATATTACTAATGGAAATTAAATTTTTTTTAATTAATCAGTGTGATTTTATTTATTATAAGTGATTAATATAGACATACGTTGTTATAAAATTACTTCCAGGAGTATAAATTTGAGTATAAAATTTTAAATATTTTTTCTTTTATAAAATGTTTTATTGTCTCTATCTCAGTTTATATATATATATATATATATATATATATATATATATATATATATATATATATATATATATATATATATCATTTATCATTCATTTGTTATGCTAAAATAACTCCTTTTATTTTTTTTATTCTACTTGTTTTCTTTAAAATGCTTATAATTTTTCATTTTAATATTTTATTTTAAGTTACATTTTCATGTAATTTATAAATATATAAAGTTCATTCATTATTATTGAATTAAAGTGTAGAGTGAAATTTTACTAATTGAGTCCGACCTAGCTATAAACTCAGGCGGAGTAACTTAAGGGTGTGGTTGAGTGGAAGAGAATCATCCATCATTAACCAAAGGTCAATGGTTCGATCATTATCTTTGGGTATGAAATAACCTTAAATCTCTAGGTTGGGGATTAGTCACTGTCATGGTTGAAAAAATCACTAGGGGGCGCGACCCTAGACGGAGATTAATCGGCGTCTGTGTATTTTTTATTTTTTAAAAAATTATTTACATTTTTTTAATTTTTGAAGACATGATAAAACATCTAGAGTTTGAACAATTTATTATTATTTCGCTCAAAATGTTATCGTTTTGAGTGAAATAATCCATTTAAAAAAGAAATGCCGGGAACAATAACTAATTGACCGCCTAAACCATCGATTATGGTAATACGCTAGGCGGCCATCCAGTGTCTACTCCGTCTAGTGCCTAGACACCGATTAATCAGTGCCTAAATGAAATTTTTACAACACTGATAATTGTGTTTGACGGTAAAAACCCTGA